CAAGGTTATGCTTGCTTCATAAAATGAGTTAGGGAGGATTCCATCCTTTTCTATGTTTTGGAATAGTTTGAGTAGAATTGGTATCAGTTCTTCTCTGAATGTTTGGTAGAATTCTCTGGTGAAACCATCTTGGCCAGGACTTTTTTTGTTGTTGGTAATTTTTTGATGACCTGTTCCCTTTCTTCTTTTGTTCAACTTTTCAAAATCAGTCTGTGTTAGTTTAGGTAAGTGGTGTGTTTCTAGAAATCTGTTCATTTCTTCCAGATTTTCAAATTTGTTAGAGTACAGTACTTCATAATATCCTAATATTATCCTTTTTATTTCGGTTGATTCTGTTGTGATGTCACCCATTTCGTTTCTTATTTATGTTTTTTGTGTTCTCTCCCTCTTTTCTGTTGTTAAATTTGCCAGTGGTTTGTCAATTTTATTGATCTTTTCAAAAAACCAACCTCTGGTCTTGTTGATTTTATCTGTTGCCCTCTATTTTCTGTTTCATTGATTTCTGCTCGAATCTTGATTATTTCCTTTCTTCTGGTGACTGTACGCTTTTCCTGCTGTTCTTTTTCTAATTGTTGGAGATGTTGGTTTAAAGTGTTGATTTTGGCTCTTTCTTCTTTTTGAATGTGTGCATTTATTGCTATAAATTGGCCTCTGATCACTGCTTTTACTGTTTCCCAAAGATTTTGGTATGTTGTGTTTTCATTCTCATTTGATTCAAGGAATTTTTGAATTTCAATTTTTATTTCTTCTCTTATCCAGTCTTTCTTAAGGAGGCTGTTGTTCAGCTATGACGTGTTTTCTCTTTTTTCGTTGATCTTCCTATTGTTGATTTCTAATTTGATAGCATTATGATCTGAGAATAAGATGCTTTTGTACAATTTCAGTGTTTTTAAATTTATTAAGACTTGCTTTATGGCCTATTTTTTTTTTATTGTCTTAAGCAGTCACACTGTCTCTGATCTAATCTGACCAGGAAGTATTTGAAATAATATTAAGTGGTAATTTGTCTTTGTTTGAGCGATCACATGAAACTTGAAGGGAGTACCTTGCAGATATGTTTATTAATTTTTTCTTTATGGAATAGATGGATTGTTTCGAAGTAGTTGATCCTCATTAGGTATCAACATTCTCAAGTTGTTTTTAGAAGCATAGAACTTAAAAATATATATGTAGAATAATGTTAAACCTAAATCTTAAAGAATTTCCTAAATTAAATTAAAGTCTAAAATATATTTTAGAATTGCAAGCTTGGAGGTGGAGAGTATGTAAATTACTGTACCTTATATACTTGTAAATTTTTTTAATATTGAATACTGAATACTGGGAGCATAACGTAAGTTGTTAAACAAAAGGGGTTACTTGGCTACTGAAAAAGTATAATAGGTTGTTTCTATTTATCCTTTTTGCTTTGTTTGAATTTTGAATAAAATAGTCTCAGTATATAGAAATATTTTTCTAAATATAGTAAAGTTTTATTTGCTTTTTTACCTTGGGTAGAAAGTACTTTCTGCTTTCATATTTAACTCTTTGCAGCAATGGGATGCATATTCTTAGACCCATTCCTGATATTTGGATACTTGAACAAAGGTGAAAAACTAGACTCTTACCATTTTAATAATTAGGAGTGAGACAGGGTAGAGAACAAAATGGGATTCGTATAAGATCCTAATATTCTTGATAAACTTTTTGTAATTACCCATGATAACTTAGTTTGGGATATATGTGGTCTTCCATTTCTGACATTTTGGCATAATGAAAAACCTTTACAATACTGGATAAAATATAACAAGTATTCAAGACTTGTACCCTTTCATCTTTGGCACTAAAATTCCAAAAGCCAGATCCCACTCTGGCCTTAGCTTTTCAGGGAGAAAAATCTCTCCTGAGGTGTTACATGTAATTTGTTGTTGTTGGGTGGTGTGAAGTCAGCTCTGACTCATAGTGACACTGTGTACAACAGAATGAAACACTGCCTGGTCTTGTGTCATCCTCAGAATCCTTGCTATACTTGAGCCTATTGTTGCAGCCACTGTTTCAGTCCATCTTGTTGAGGGTCTTCCCCTTTTTTTTTGGCTGATCATCCACTTTACCAGGCACGATATCCTTCTGTAGGGAATGGTCTCTTTTTACAAGACCAAAGCAGGTAAGATGAAATCTGGCCATTCTTATTTCCAAGGAACATTCCAACTGTACTTCTTCCAGGGCAGATTTGTTCATTCTTCTGGCAGTCCATAGTATTTTCAGAATTCTCACCAACACCACAACTCAAAAGTATCAAGTTTTTTTTCAATCTTTTTTATTCACAAAATTAGACCATTGTTGTTGTTGTTATGTGCCATTGAGTCGGACCTGACTCATAGCGACCCCTCCTTGTGTTTCCAAGGCAGTATCACTACGGAAATAGATTGCCCAGCCTTCCTTCTGAGGAGTAGCTGTTGGGTTTGAACCACCAGCCTTCTGGTTAACAGTCACATGCCTTAGGCACTATGCCACCAGAGCTCCCAAATTAGACCATAGACATTTGAAAAAAAGAATGAAGTAGAACCTCTACAATTAATGTAGGCATTGATATAAAACTCAAATGTATATGTTAACTATCTGAAGAAAAAATTGATAAACTGGAAAATAGATCAGAAAAAATTATCCAGAAGACAGAACAAATAAAGAAATGGGGTTTAAAAGATGTGGAGTAAAGGATGAAAGGTCTGACATATGTCTTATACAAATTTTAGAAGGAAATGATAGAGAAAATAGGGGAAGCAATTTTCATAAAACCATGTAAACTTGGCTGAGAGTTTTGATTAAAAATACTTGCATCTCTGGAGAAAGTATAATGTTACTTTGTGGCACTGTTGCAAGGCTTTCTTAAGTCACACATTTTTCCTGTGGGGTAGCCTTGAAAATTGGATGCACCCAATAAGGCATATCTTAGACCACTAAAAAAATAAAATGCAGTGTTTTTATATGTTTATAATAAAATAAATTTATTATTAAATGTAATCCAAGGACTTTACAGCTAAAAGGGGTCTAAGAGAACTTTTAATACAACTAGAACTTGAGGAATTTGCTTAACCCCCACAGGCCTAGGTAATGACAGTTACAGCTGGAAACCAGATCTTTTGATTCCAAGTTTAATGTTCTTTCTCTCCATCTTGCTAAGTATTTTAGACATGCATATAAAGTTACTTTGATGGGATTTTCAAGATCAAAAGTTTAGATGGCATATTGTCTAATGTAGAGGTAGTAAATATAAGGCATTGCTAATACATTGTAAGTAGTTCTTTTAATTAATAATGTTTTTAATAAAATGGCTGATGCTTTTTTAATGTTGCTTTATCAGAGCAAGATATGTGAATTACATCAAAACATCAGAAGTGGTCAGATTGCCCTATCCTCTCCAGATGAAATCTTCAGGTCCACCTTCTTATTTTATTAAGAGGGAGTCATGGGGCTGGACAGACTTTCTAATGAACCCAATGGTACGTATCAGGCTAAAATGAAACATTTTATTAATCCCTGATTTCTAGCCAGTTGAAAATTTCTAATCCCTATGAGATAAACACTGAGATCAGATTGTTGGTAAAAAGGTAATTGTGAAAAATTTACAGATTTTAGGAAAATAGTGACTTTGGAAATACATAATGAAAAGACTATGGAGAATATTGAGAATTGCATTGCAGATTTGACATTGAAATGTGCAATAAAAATTGGATTAAGTACCTAAGTATGGTAAACTGTTTTAAAATTCAAACAGAGTAAGAGTATGCAGGGGGTTACACATGGAGCTGTCTTATCCTTTGTGTCAGCTGCCTATTAGCCTGTTAGTAGATGTGCCATCATTTACTTAACCAATGCCTCTTAATGGCCAGTAAGGTTCTCTTGCCCTGTTTCTGGCATGCATAATGAACAGAGAACTTTTGGTTATTTAAGTACTTGATATTATCACGTATTAAACCATTAAAATGGTTTAATGCCCACAACAGTAGTAAAACGGGAGCTCTGGTGGTGTAGTGGCTAAGGCACTTTACTGCTAACCAGAAAGCTGATGGTTCAAACCCACCAGCCACTCCTCGGAAGGAAGACTGGGCAGTGTACTTTTGTAGAGATACCACCTTGGAAACCCAGGGAGGGATCACTGTGAGTCGTAATCGACTCAATGGCAGTGAGAATAATAAAACACTAATAAAACACATTTTTTAGAAACAATTTATCCCTTTTTTCCCTCTTCTTTTTTTTTTTGCTGATTTTTGAAAGGTGATTTATTATCTAAGTTTCTATTTTATTCCTCCCCAGTAGTTGCTTAGATCATAAACGGGAATGCTCAGATGGCTGTTGATCCTCTAGAGAGAAATAGATTAGTACTCAGAATCTTCTCTCATGGGTAAAGGAGCAGGAGGGTAGATTTGATGGGAGAAATCAGCAATGAGACATGAACATTTATTGAGGAATATAGCTGACACTTTAACAACGTGGGGGTTAGGGACATTGACCCCTGTGCAGTCAAAAATCTGCGTATAACTTGACTCCCTAAAAACTTAACCATTAATAACCTACTGGAAGCCTTATTGATAACATAAACAGTCGATTAACACAATTCTTGCCATATAGTTACTAGGTTTTCACACTCAGACACATATACAATAGATAAGTTTATTAACTGTGTGAAATGATTAATATTTACTATTTATTAAGTGGAAATATATCATCATGAAGATTTTTATCCTCATTGTCTTCAGGTTGAGTAGGTTGTGGAGAAGGAGGAGGAGGAGGGTTGGTTGTGCTGTCTTGCATGGCAGAGGTAGAGGAGGTGGAAGGAAGGCAGGAGTGGGAAACAAACTGTAACTACGGAAATACATCATAATTTCTGTCTGATTGCTTTGCTTTTTCATTTCTCTAAAGATGTTTCTATACAGTATCAAACCTTCTTCCACCGTTTGCCTTAGTTTCAGTGCCCGTATCATAGAAGGGTTTGTGTCATAAAAGAAGTCAAAATCGTAACCCTTCTGGCAGATTGTGTAATGTCAGTTTGTTTTCTGGAGCCGTTCCTTCTATATCTTCTTCCTCATCGTCTGGCATGGTTCAGAAGCACTCATCTCCATCAAGTTGTAGTCTGTTAATTCCTCTGGTATGGTGTCTGTTAGTTCTTGAATTTGTCTAAGATCTGTATCTTGTAAAAAATCTGCATGTAAGTTTGCTACTTGGAACACAGTTCAGATCTGTGTTATTTAAGGGTCACTGTATCTTTCCTTTCAAAATTCCATAGAACTGTATGACCTGCTAGATGCTTTTAGGTCATTTTTCAAAACTGAGCTGCTGGACTTCCAGTAAGATGGCAGAATAGACAACCACCTTCAACAAAGAGAAGAGAAACCAATTGACAGAGATACAGAAGATAATTCTGGAGCCCTGAGCTTTGAAAGAAAGGATACAGAAGTGGATTAATTACCAACTATTGGAATAACCTGAATGAAAACAGCAAATAAGGAAACAAACAGAATTGCAGACTATCTGCTCTCCTGATGGTGTGGTCAGTTTGAATATTTGCAAGTGGTGTTAGGACCTGGACCAGTAATCTGAAAATTAGCCTTCCTTCCCAAGACTGTATAGACAGTTGCACTGGTGGCTAATGACTAAAAAGGGAAACAGCAAAGAAGGAAACCAACTTAGCTGTGGACTTTCAGTTCTCCAGAGAATGTAGCCATTTTGAATATTTACAAGTGGTGTGGCCATTTTGGATATTTAAAGCAGCAGCATTTGTATCTAAGAATAGATCCTATTCTTAGATCTAAGAAAAGCTTAGTTCAGAACTAAGAGTAGGCTCCGCTTGCCAAGAACAGCACAGGCAACCACACTGGAGGTTGACAACTGGAAAGGTGTGATATTCTCCTTGATACTATTATATCCCACAGCCTCTTAGTGAATGGAGGTGCAGCCATCCCCCACCTCCACCCACATGCTGCACTAGCAGGAATTCCATCCCAGTCTTTGTACTGTGGAGGAACCTTGGTGTCCTACCTCCCTCCCCACCCCGATATTTTTTTGTTTTTTGTTGTTGTTTTTAAATTATTCTTTTTTTCTTCATTTTTATTTTTAATTCTTTTTCTCTTCCCAGGTCTAGTTTTTGGTTTTCTTTCTCTTCCCTTTTCCTGGTTTCCATCTTTTTCTTTCTTTTGGTTCTTCCCATCCCTTGTTTTTCATTTTTTGTGTTTTTCTAATTTTTTCTTTATTATT